CACGGGAACACCAAAGCCATCAAGTGCCGAATCTTGAACATGGACGGTGACAATTAAAACGAAACCGATTCCAAACGTCACAACTACGAAAGTTGGAACACACTCAATAGACACTACACTTTTGAATTGAATCTTTTCATCATTTAATACAACTTAGCAATTTTAAACAAATCCACCAAACCCTTTTTCTTTTAATTATTTTGTAAGCAACTTTTCAAAAACACCTCAATGTGGAGAGCCCCACAAAACTTAGCTTTCAAAATAATACAATTAATTCATTCCTTAATCAATTTTTCCAACAAAATATTGCAATAAAATTAAATTAAAATACATTTGCTTAACAACAAAGGCTCATCAATTCTTCATTAATTACATTTTTGCCACTTCTAGATCTTATAATTTAATTATATTTTATTTTATTTTATATTTAATTAATTAAAAAAATTTTGGTTTGATTGTTATTGAGAAAATTTAATTTTAACCTTATATTAAAAGTATTATTTGTCACCCTATTTTCATTTTTATTTATAAATATTTTCAATATTTTGTTGAACACAACGCTCTGTCGAAAACACTCGTACACTTTATTAAGGCCAATCGAGAAGAAATTTACAAAAACACTATGCAGAAACTACTGCTTGAGATTTATTGGGATGATAAACTAAGTAGGGTGGAGGGGTATTTATAAAAGTAGTATGTTTTTCTAAAATATTTAAATCATTTTTCTAAATTTATTCCTAAAATCCTAAAATTATTTTTCTAAATTTATTTCTAAAATCGTAAATTGTGACGATACTTTTAAATGGGAGTAAATAAAAAAAAAATAATAATATTTATTGGTTATTTTTGTTAGTTTTTAAAAATATTTAATTGGTTTTTGGTGGAAGATTTGTAAAAAAATATTAATAATATTCTTTTCTAGGTGATCTTTTTTATATTCATCCTAATATTTATTATGCTAAATAAAAAAATAATATTAATATTTTATTACAATTTTGCCCTTTAAATTTTTTTTTATTTTAATCTTAAAATTTTGAAATTATTCTTAAAAATGCTCGTTGGATACTAAATAATATTATTTGAGTTCAAATGAATGGTAATAATAATTTTAATAATTTAATATTTAAAATTAAATAGTAAATTATGTCACACTTATTTTTCAATTTTATTTTTCAATTTTTACCAATAATACCCTATTTTAATTTATACCATTTATTTAAATGGAAAAGTCCTAATTTAAAAAATATATATATATTAAAGTTGAAGAATTATAATTTAATTTTGTGGATATTTTGTATAATTTTAGGGGGAATTTATTATTATTATTATTATTATTTTAAATATTTGAAATTCAAATTTTATAATTCAAAAAACTTCAATTCAATCACATCCACATCTCCTATTGCTTATTGCGTGAGTCTTTTTTAATGATGTCACGTGGAAATGTGGAATAATAAATTTGAATTCAAAATAATAATAATAATAATAATAATAATAATAATTAGGGGTAATTGAAAAGATTAAGCTTATAGGGTGATGTTCACGGGGCAGGACGGAGAAAGGACGGTACAAGGAAGCCTTGCCAGTCCTAGTCCCGGTCTCAGGCCTTGCATCCTATTTCAACTCCCGGAATAGGGATTGGGTTCCCACCTTTTTTGTCCCACTGAATAAACATTGAATCTTTGTTTTCAACTGTTTTTATCTAGGGGGCGGCCGAAACTCTTTTTTATTGAACCCAGAGGATGAATAGCCGTACAAGGGTGATGAGCTTGACGTTCAAGCGTCTCAAGGAGCGAAGGAGTTTGAAGTGTCGAGGAGACTTGCTTGTGCTCTTCTAACTAGGAGACCCTGCATCCTATTTCAATTCATGGAACTAGATTCTTAATAGGGATCGAGTTCCCACATTTTTTTGTCCCACCAGATAAAAGTTGAATCCTTGTCTTCAACTGTTTTTACCCAGAGAGGCGACTGAAACTCTTTTTTCTTGAGCAGCAATAACAGGGTGATGAGCGTGAGGATTAGGTGTCTCAAGGAGCGAAGGAGTTTGAGGTGTCGATGGACTTTTGCTTGTGCTCTTCTAACGAGGATACTTAAGTGAGATCCTGAGCATTATTTGGTCAGGAAATTAAGTCTGACAAATTTTCTTCCATTCTCATATATTTTTAACAAAAATACTGGTTCTAAAAAAATTTAACCGATAATTCTCATTTTTTCAATATAAATTATATTTTAAAAAATTGTGTTGTCGGTTAACAAACAAATTTACCTCAACCTGAATGGAGAAGTATAGGGAATACAGTGACATCTAATAAATCTCGAATTTTCTAAATATTCGTTGACCAAACTCATGTGTCTTACATCAACTAGCTAATTTGTCGTCCAAAATCACCGGATAATAAGGGTTAAAAGTCAACCCGTCATCTCAATATAAGGATTAAAAAATGACTTTTTTTTTTTCAAAGAAGAACTTATAATAAAATTCAATAAAAATGCTCCAAATAATGAATCCTCAATTTGTATTGGAATTATTAGAGACATGGGATTTGGCGTTAGCGCAGCTGTCACGGTTGAGATATTTAAAGGAGCGGCCAAAAAATGGCGCACACCATGTGCTCACTGCGCCAACGCCAACGCCAATCCAATCACTCGCCATGTGACTATCAAACACACCATGACAGCCCCACTTTCTCTTTGTTTTCTTCTTTAATTCAGCCTCTAATCAATCATTCTTCACCATTTTTCCCATTTTCTTTTGAGAAATATTGGTGGGTCGTGCATAGAAGTAAGGGCGAGTTCAAGCCCAAAGAAATTTTAATTCATAGTTCTTGTTGACATTTCGTCGAACACTTTGTGGGCAACACGTCTGTTTATGTTTTGTACTTGTGTTTGAGGGGTGTATTGCCTTCAATCATGGTGTTGTGGGCTATTAGGGGTGGAGTGTGGGCTTCCCCCACATGGCTCCATTACCTCAAGACACGTGTCAAGGTCTTAGCTTAGGCTTGTCCGGGTGAATATTGGACAATGCTGACTTGGTGTTATAGTCATGCTTGTTCAAGGTGTGTTGCCTGTAATTGCATGACGAATGTCCTGGAGTCGCACGCCCGTTCCAGACCCCTTTTTACTTGTTGTCCATGGTCACATGCTTGAACAATGCTGACTTGGCACAACCTTAGAAGACTCGTCTATCTGATAGTAAAGATAACATTGACGGAAAAGCCACTTGATGTGAACCTACATGGTTAGAAAGTTCATGCAATTTCTTCTTTAGTAAAGGTAGAGGTAATGTTTTCATGACGTACCTTATCTCGATCTAATCTAAACCTCTCTCTAAAACACAACTCTAACTTAAAGCTTTGAGGTGTCGCAAGATCAAGATGTCCCCGAACTTGAAATTGAGGTGCCATGTCATCTTTCCACCTCGTTCAAAATCTACAATTCACTTTAATCTATTACCCTTTTCAATACCTTTAAATATATGCAATGTGAATGAAATCTCTTTAGATAACATAACTCAAAATTTAAGTTTTGAAGTATAGTGGTCAACATCATGCCGGTGTGAAATTTTAATATGCGTTGTAAATATATTTAAATGAAATAGAGCGGGAAGGAGGACGGAGAATATAATCCCATCCCCGACCCCATTTATCTAAAGAAGAAAAAAATGTTCCCCACCCTCTCCCCGTCTAAATGGGATATCCCCTCCGTTCCAGATGAGTAAAATGGACATCTTTGGTTCAAAATGATTGTCTATATATATATAAAAATAAATAAATAAATAAATAAAGGATATTTCTTTTTTAGAAGAATACAATTAAAAATAAAAGATATTAATGTAAATAAAAGATGGAAATAAGGGAAAAAAAAAAGAAATTAAAAGCGGAAGGGGTAATTTAGTAATTTTGTGTATAATAAATAATTAAAAAAAAGAAGAAAAATCTGGAAAAGGGCAACAGCTTCGCCAGCGACTCCACCAATTGGATCTTAAGAGGCCCAAAACCACGTGGCTTACAAGCCCAAATTGAAGGGGTAATTTAGTAATTTTGTGTATAATAAATAATTAAAAAAAAAGAAGAAAAATCTGGAAAAAGGCAGCAGGTTCGCCGGCGACTCCGCCGATTGAAAATTAGAAGGCCGAAACCACGTGTTTGCTTGTAATTTCACGTGGAAAAATATCATCGGAGAGGATGAATTTTCTCGCCGGAGTTTGATCGGAGTAAATTCAATGTTTTAACCCCAAAAGATTTTACCTTGAAACATCATGTAAAAAAAAATTCACCAACTATATAAATTTTTACGGTCGATATAAAACTATAAATTTTAAAAATAACATTAAAAGGATTAAAAATTTATTAGAATTAATATATAAATAAAAATCATTATCGACACCTCATAAATCATCTACATATGTTTTTATATTATTATAAAGGTTCATGAGTATTATTATTTTGTCACAATCGCACTTTTGATGGCAGCGGACTTGCAATTGTCTGGCACTCACTTTTCAACGACAAGTGAGCTAAGCCAATTCGTTCTTACGTAGCTTACGGGCAAGCGACGTACGCTTGAGCCTCTGACCTCGGTTTAAGAGAAGGTTTTAGAAAACGAGGGCAGAGAGAGATTTTTGAAAGAGACGTTATATAAGTAAGCAAGAGAGTCACAACAATGACTCATACTATATAACATTGGGTAGGAAGAAGTTGACAAATATAAGGGTAAATATAGTTTTTAATTTTTTTACAAAACATTTAAAAATGTTTTTTAAAGTTTTTTTTTTTTTTTAATATTAACGAAAATTTTGAAAATTAAAAATAAATATAAATGGTTTATTGGTATTTTTTAAACAATAATATTAAAAAAAGAAATTATATTTGTTAGATTTTTTTAAAAAAATTAAAAGTATTATTAAAATTTTAAAAAATTAAAAAGTATTATTAAACTTTTTAAAAATTAAAAAAATGTAAAATGATTAGATTTTCCGACAGCGCCCAAATCGGGTGGATAAATAGAAGTGTGAGAGTAGAAAGGGGAGGCGGAGTTGTGGCTGCGGCGGCGTGGGGTCCTCTCTCTTTCTCTCTACTTTCAAATTCTCAAAATCTCCCAATTCTCCCTCGTTCTTCCACCGCTCGCTCGCTCTTCGCGCCCAGGTTTCCCTCTTCCTCTCTTTAATTTCTTCTATTTTCTGCTTCTCTTTCTTGATTTTGATCCCCTACGAATATTCTTTGCCGCATTTCTTCCCGATTCTCCTTTCATTTCGTACTTTTTATCGCTTCAGATATCGAAAACGGAGTAACATTTTGCTATCGTGATTTATTTTTCTTGTTTCGAAATCGAGAAACGAGGAGCATGTCTTCTCGCTCCACTGAGTGCGCATTTTGTAAGATTTGTACAATTTTTCGTTTCTCAGTGGAAAATTTGCCTTTGATTGAAGTTTAAAGAAAGATGATGGAGAATTGGACTAGGATTGTTTGGCGTTAGTTTGTTTCTATGGATGTTCTTGAAGAAATTGTCTAACGGTTGATGATTTCTTGTGCGATTGGGAAAAATTAAACTCCGATTTCTGTTTCTTATCTTGCAGCTCTTAGTTCTGTGGTGTATGCTCATATGTGAATTCATTTCATCGAAATGTCTCTCCTCAGTAGATTCTTTTACAGAAGGCCCCCGGATGGGTTGCTGGAATTTGTTGAACGAGTATATAGTGAGTGAAAATCTTAATTTGCCACTTTATTATGAACTTTGGCTTAATAGTTCCTCATTTGGTTGTCAATTTCATGAGTTTGTGCAGTTTTTGACTCGTGCTTTTCTACTGAAGTATTGCCTGATGATATGTACCAAATATATCTGCACGAAATCATAAACGAATTACATGAAGAATTCCCGGAGTCCTCTTTTCTTGCTTTTAATTTTCGTGAAGGGGAGAAACGGAGCCAATTTTCACAAATGTTGTGCGAGTATGATGTCACTGTGATGGATTATCCTCGACAATATGAAGGTTGCCCGCTTCTACCGCTGTCGTTAATACAGCACTTCCTCCATGTTTGTGAAAGTTGGCTTCTGCTAGGTAACCAACAAAATGTCATTCTTCTCCACTGTGAGAGGGGAGGTTGGCCACTGTTAGCATTCCTTTTGGCTAGCTTTTTGATATTTAGAAAACTGCACAGTGGTGAGAGGAAAACTCTTGAAATTGTTCATCGAGAAGCTCCCAAAGGGTTTTTGCAGCTCTTGTCACCATTAAATCCTTTCCCATCTCAGCTCCGCTACTTGCAATATGTTGCAAGGAGAAATATAGTCTCTGAGTGGCCACCACCTGAGCGAGCGCTTTCTTTAGATTGTGTAATTCTTCGTGGCATTCCGGGTTTTGATTCTCAGAATGGCTGCAGACCAGTTGTTCGTATTTTTGGGAGGAATCTTTTTAGTAAGGGTGGGCTTTCCACGCAGATGATTTTCTCTATGCCCAAGAAGAACAAGGCCCTCCGTCACTACCATCAGGTACTGATTTTCTACTTTGATTTTGTGACCTCATATACTTTAGATATGTAAACCATGAAAAGATGGATGTTTTGATTGCAGGCAGAGTGCGATGTGATTAAAATAGACGTTCAGTGTTTGGTTCAAGGAGATGTAGTGTTGGAGTGTTCACATTTGGAACCAGAACAAGAAAGGGAAGTTATGATGTTTCGTATTATGTTCAATACAGCGTTTATTCGATCAAACATACTGATGCTAACCTCTGAAAATTTGGACATTCTTTGGGATTCAAAGGAGCGTTATCCAAAAGGCTTTCGAGCTGAGGTGAGTTTGGACAGTCATTTGGAGAATCTCAATACCAAGTTTGTTGCTTTTACTATTTATTACCATATGAGATAAATGTCCCAAGAACTCTGATTTAATGATTTATTTTTTCTCTTCGGCTGTTCATCCAATTAATTGCTTTTAAATTAGGTTCTGTTTGGAGAGATGGAAAGCATCTCCCCTCCAAGGGCTCCAACCACAATTTTGAATGGTGAAGAGAAAGGTGGATTACCAATTGAAGCTTTTTCCAGGGTTCAAGAACTTTTTAGTGGTGTTGAGTGGATTGATAACAATGATGATGCTGCCTTGTGGCTACTCAAGAATCTTTCTGCCTTGAGTGATGTGAAGGAATTGTCAAGATTGCAAAATAAAACAAGTTCATACTCCTCACCAGTGGATTCTGAAGAGGAAAATAATACATCTAGCACTGCCGATAGTTTAGATGAAGTATTTGATACTATTACAAGGCCTGTGGTTGATTCAACTTCTACCAATTTTACAATTCCAGCTACGGTACATTCTTCTGAATTATTGTCCGACAAGATTGGTGCTAATGAAGTGAATATTTCATCAGAGTCTCCTCAACTTTTTGATGAATTTCAAGATGAGATATCTTCGAATAAAGAACCTCCATTAACTTCTTTTGGCTCCTCAATCCCTCCTATAAGTTCTTCTTTGATGTCATCGCCACTGTTGCCTCCATCTAATCTACCATCAACTAATGCTAGTGGGGAACTTGTCTCAAATAAAATGACACCCACTGTTGAAGTAATTCCTCCTCCACCACCACCGCCGCCGCCACCTTTTTCCCTGTCTCATAATGAACCTCATGTAGAAACTTCCATCAGTTCAAATTTGACTACCATAACAATGCATGGGAGACCCCCTCCACCACCTCCACCTCCACCTCCACCTCAATATACTACTGGTACCAATCCTGTTGAAGCCTCTTTGACTCATTCACTGTCGCTTGTTCCTAAAACTTCGGGTGCTCCTCCACCCCCACCTCCCCCTCCTCCTCCCCCTCCACAAGTTGTTGGTCCACCTCCACCTATTTCTAATTCCTCCAGTTCTCCACTTCCTCCTCCACCTCCGCCTCCAGTTCCAAAATCTTTTGGTACTCCTCCACCTCCACCTCCACCTCCGCCTCCGCTTCTAAAATCTTCTAGCGCTCCTCCACCTCCACCTCCACCTCCCCCTCCTCTTCTAAAATCTTCTAGTGCTCCTCCACCTTCACCTCCACCTCCACCTCCACCTCCGCCTCCGCTTCTAAAATCTTCTAGCGCTCCTCCACCTCCACCTCCACCTCCCCCTCCTCTTCTAAAATCTTCTAGTGCTCCTCCACCTTCACCTCCACCTCCACCTCCACCTCCGCCTCCGCTTCTAAAATCTTCTAGCGCTCCTCCACCTCCACCTCCACCTCCCCCTCCTCTTCTAAAATCTTCTAGTGCTCCTCCACCTTCACCTCCACCTCCACCTCCACCTCCGCCTCCGCTTCTAAAATCTTCTAGCGCTCCTCCACCTCCACCTCCACCTCCCCCTCCTCTTCTAAAATCTTCTAGTGCTCCTCCACCTTCACCTCCACCTCCACCTCCACCTCCGCCTCCGCTTCTAAAATCTTCTAGCGCTCCTCCACCTCCACCTCCACCTCCCCCTCCTCTTCTAAAATCTTCTAGTGCTCCTCCACCTTCACCTCCACCTCCACCTCCACCTCCGCCTCCGCTTCTAAAATCTTCTAGCGCTCCTCCACCTCCACCTCCACCTCCCCCTCCTCTTCTAAAATCTTCTAGTGCTCCTCCACCTTCACCTCCACCTCCACCTCCCCCTCCTCTTCTAAAATCTTCTAGTGCTCCTCCACCTTCACCTCCACCTCCACCTCCACCTCCGCCTCCAATTCCAAAACTTTCTGTTGCTCCTCCACCTCCACCTCCACCTCCAAAACTTTCTGGTGCTCCTCCACCTCCGCCTCCACCTCCAAAACTTTCTGGTGCTCCTCCGCCTCCGCCTCCGCCTCCAAAGTTTTCTGGTGCTCCTCCGCCTCCGCCTCCGCCTCCAAAACTTTCTGGTGCTCCTCCGCCTCCGCCTCCGCCTCCTAAACTTTCTGGTGCTCCTCCACCTCCACCTCCACCTCCACAATCAAATCGCGGTGCACCGGTTCCACCTCCTCCACCACCAAGACCTCCCAGTGTTGAGCTACCAAGTCATGGTACTAAACCAACTAGACCTCCTCCACCTCCTCCACCGGCAAAGTCCTCTAATGCTCACCCTCCGTCAAGTCATGGTGCTACACCAATGCCACCCCCTCCCCCCGGATCAAGAGGGCCAAATGTACCACCACCACCTCCTCCTTCTGTTGGAAGAGGCAAAGCTTCTCTAGGGTCAACAACTCAAGGAAGAGGCCGTCTTGCTACTGGAGTTGTAAATGCTCCAAAAAAAACCACTTTAAAACCATTGCACTGGGTAAAAGTTACTCGAGCAATGCAAGGCAGTTTGTGGGCTGATTCACAAAAGCAGGAAAATCAATCAAGGTGCACTATGAATGAATTTTTGAGTTTTCTACTGATTGGATGATCCATGTTTTTTTAGACTGTAGAGCCTGTACTTTATTCAATAGCGAATTTATATTATTAATGAAATCCTCCTAATTTGATCCTGATGAACAGAAAAATAAAAGGTTTATTGATATGCTTTGATCTATCCATTTCCGAAAAAGATAAATCTTGTTGTGCACTTTCTTTTTGGAACCTATTCTAGGTTCTCTGTTTTGTATTTTCTGGTTGCTTTTTCTGTTAGCTGTTGTCCCATACTTTCTACCATCACTCATATCATCTTGGCTGTCTCATTATTTTTGGGTTGCATTGCATGGAATTTCCTATAAGTCTCATTCCGAATAATGGTCTTATAGGGCCCCAGAAATAGACATCTCTGAACTTGAAAGTCTATTCTCAGCAGCCTCTGCTTCTGATGGGAGTGGTAGTAAAGGTGGAGGACGACGTGGTTCCAATATCAACAAACCGGAAAAAGTGCAACTGGTTAGTCATTTTCCATTCTTTCTTATTCTTCCTCAGCATCATTCTTCTTGTTTCATACTTCTTTCTCATGATTTTGATTCATGGAATTCAAGGAGGTGAGGTTGGCAAGGAGCATTTGGTCAATTTCCTCCCTTTATTTATTTATTTTGGGTCAAATTTGTGATGTGGTTCTGTGTCATTTTGTCAGATTGACCTGCGAAGAGCATATAACTGTGAAATAATGCTCTCAAAAATAAAGATTCCCTTACCGGATATGATAGTAAGTGATATTCTTTCCATTATGTTTCATAGTTTGCTTTCTCAGTAGATGGGTTGAACTTTAAATAGATTTTGGATATAATCTTTCATCTTATCAATGAAAATGCCACATTTTCTTAATAACACAATTCAGACTCCAGGTTAAATTTGTAGGGTCATTTTTAAATATCAGTATACTCTTTTCCTTTTTTGTTTTGTTTTTTGTTAGAAGGATATTGATTGTCTCCATTCTAAGCCTTTGACATCTCTCCACTAATTTAGTTTACTTCTTGCAGAATTCAGTTCTTGCATTGGATTCTTCTGCTCTTGATATTGACCAGGTTGAGAATCTCATCAAGTTTTGTCCTACCAGGGAAGAGATGGAAACGTTGAAGGTACTTCCGTCCCGGCTTCCTCTTTCACTGTACATATTGCTGCACATTGCCATTCCAAAACTTTGGGGGTTTCTCAATGTTGAATACAGTGAACCTTTGTCGTTATGATATTCATGTGTAGGAATTAAAAAGTTCGGATAAGTTATCTAGTTATAGTCTATTAAATATGTGAGGGTTGCTCTTACCCAAGCCGGTTCCTTTTTTCCCATGGTAGGTTTTGCAGTTCTGATGAGTTATGAGTCTATTCATATGTGCTAAGTTTTGGATAGGACTTGCAATATCAATTAAAATGGCTCTACCAATCATTAGTGGGACATGGTTTAGAATTTTGATAATAAAGGAGCTTTACATCTAGCGGCTAAAGCAAAGGAGCAGCTATATTTGTTTTTTGTTATTTTTTTTTCCCTGTTATGTTCTTGGGAGCCTTAAGCCCATTATTAGGAAAGTTTTGCCTGGCATATATTTAGGACATTATTTTCTTATTTAATGTAAATAATGTATTGCATATACGAAGCAGCGTATCTACCTTTTTTCCCCTTCAAGGACTCCCCATATTTTTCATCCTGTACTAGCAGTAGTTTTTTTGGACGATATCAGTATTAAGTAAAGAGATGTGGTAAAGTCGGTTTTGGTATTTTTGTTTCTTTCATATATTGAGTAATATGTTATCGTTTGCTGATTTACATTTCTAGTTTAGTTGAATAGATCAAAGCAATATATACTTTTAATTGTTTTCTTTTTCCTGCAAATGGTACATGTACATATTACAGAATTATACAGGTGACAGACAAATGCTAGGAAAGTGCGAGCAGGTACTTCAATTGCTTCTATCTCCCTAATATGCATAAGCCCCAATAAAGTTTCTGAAGCTCATGCTAGTTCATTCCCTTTCAGTTTTTTCTTGAGCTAATGAAGGTCCCACGAATAGAGTCCAAGTTACGAGTGTTTGCTTTCAAAATAACCTTTTCTAGTCAGGTATAATATCAAATTATGTCACGTGAACTTTTATGCTATTTACTTGTAGTAAACAGTTTTAGTTCTTATCTTGGTTAGGTGAATGATTTGAGATACAACTTGAACACAATAAATGATGCTACAAGAGAGGTACTCTTTCACTTATTAGTGTTTTCAAAGTGACCATCTCAATCATATCCGAGTCCATATTTATTTTGTAATTTAAAGCAACAGGTCAAAGAATCTGCAAAATTGCGTCAGATAATGCAAACAATTCTGACACTGGGAAATGCGTTAAACCAGGGCACTGCTCGAGGTAGATGTCTCACCCTTGTTGCCACTGATAAAAAACATTCTTGAAGATGTGATAGACGAGCTTGAAAGACTAACACGACTAGTTATCTGTCGTCAATTTTTTATTTTTATTTCTTTCGAACTAGAGTGATCACTTATAAATTTCTCCAATTAATGAATCGAGTAAACCGTTTAGTCCAAGCTTGGCAGCATGCGTCAATGTGAAGTGAGGAGGAATCAGGCTTCAGGCTTTGCTTGCTGGTCTAATGCATTTGATTTTTTTTTTTTTTTTTGTTTATCTTTGTCACATTGCAGGCTCTGCTATAGGTTTTAAGTTGGACAGCCTCCTTAAATTGTCTGACACTCGGGCAAGAAACAACAAAATGACTTTGATGCATTATTTGTGTAAGGTAGGAATCTGGATATATTTTGTCTGTACGTGCACTACAATATAATTAAATTGTTTCTTTTATATTGATTATCACCCCCCCCCCCCCCCCCNAAAAAAAAAAAAAAGCTCATTGCAGAAAAAATGGCGGAATTACTTGATTTTGACAAGGACCTTGTTCATTTAGAAGCTGCCTCTAAGGTATGTTATTTTCGGAAATATGAATAATCTGTGGATAAGATTCCCTTTCATTTGTAATTTTTATCTAATGTAATTGAATTTTGTAAAACTAGATTCAATTGAAAGCATTGGCTGAGGAAATGCAAGCAGTGAGTAAAGGTCTTGAAAAGATGGAGCAAGAGCTAACTGCTTCAGAAAATGACGGTGCTATCTCTATTGGTTTCCAGAAGGTGTGAAATTTAATGTTCATTTGGTTCTTTGCTAGGAATCTGGTTGCTTCTTCTCCCAGTGACGGAAACCCCAGTATCATATTTAGTCTGCACTAATGACTTTTATATCAATTTGATAGCGTTAGCTCCATGAGGAATCTGCATTTGACCCTGAACATTGGCGTAAATTTTAATTTCTTCTATATCAGTGCGTAGATCTTTTCATCATGAACTTAGTTTGGTTGTAGGAATTAGGCATACTAGGTTTTGTCCTCAATTTAATGTTCTTTCCCTATTAGTTTAATCATCTTTCTTTCGTTATAGAAAGTTCCAAGTGTTTTTATTACTCCTTTCAGGTGCTGAAGATTTTTCTTGATACGGCTGAAGCTGAAGTAAGGGCACTTATTTCCTTATATTCTGAAGTGGTGAGTCCTTTTCTATTAAAAAAAAAAAAAAAAAAAAAAAACCATTCCAGATAGTTTTCTGGCTCCCCCTCTAAAGCTGACATTTTGTTATGTCAGGGGAGAAACGCAGATTCGCTATCCCAGTACTTCGGCGAGGATCCAGCTCGGTGCCCCTTTGAGCAAGGTCTTGTGAATTTTATATTTCAATGCATAATCTTTTAAGCACATGGTAAAATGAGAAAAATATTCCAGATGGAAAATCCAGGTTGAAGTGTGAGATAAAAAAAGCCAGCCCAAGCTGAAACTAATTGCAACTGAAAATCATTTATTACACCACTTAACCAAGGTTAACAAAATTCAACCAAAACTAGCCTCATAACTACTTTCCCACGAGAGAACTTGATAAGGAATAACGACAAGTGAAGTAAGAGTTGGATTCCATTGTTGATCGAATATCTCAATCAAGAGCACTTGTTTAAATTTCAAGTCACTCCACAAACAAAATCGATCATGTCAAGCTTGAATGATTCTAAACATGCAATTTAAACTATATAGAATTGCAAAGAAACTTAGCGCTCGGCTAAAGGAAAGGTAAGAACACTTAGCACTAATGATAAGAATCACTCCAAGGGAAAGTAAAATTCAGGTTACCTTGTTGATCAAATATCTCCAAGACAAGAACACTTGATTGAGATTTGAATCACTCAACAAACAAGATCGATCGTATCAAGCTTGAATGATTCTAAACATGCAACTTAAACTATATAGAATTGCAAAGAAACTTAGCCCTTGGCTAAAGGAAAGGTAAGAACACTTAGCCCTAATGATAAAGAATCACTCAAAGGAAAAGTAAAATTCGGATTACCTTGTTGATCAAATATCTCAAGTTAAGGCAAAAACACTTGATTGAGATTCAAATCATTCCACAAGCAAAATTGATCATGTCAAGTCAAATGATTCTAAACATGCAACATAAACTACATAAAATTGCGAAAGAAACTTAGCCCTTAACCCATAACCTTTCATAAGGCATTCCAAGAGTTGTAACTTTCATAATTTATGACCATAATTAGTCACTATGTATACTTTATGACCATAATTAGCCACCATTGTAAATATAACCTTAAAGTGAATAAAAAGTCTAGAATTGTATTAATGAAATACCATAACTCTAAATTATCATCCATCGAAAATTTGTAACCATTTAAGAATGAATGAAGTTTGATTCTTCTTTAATATGACATGAATTGCAACATTTTGTGATAATTTGAACCACATTTTTTTCACATTTTCCTTGAAGTTTATATTGTCTGATTGATGTCTTGGTTCATATCAGAACTACTTAAGATTATATAATCCATGGTCTTAATCCATTGTAATTTAATGCACAACTGTGTATGTATGTGCTGGGTCAGGTCAGTAACAACAAAAATTTAGCCCTACATACAGGTGGGTGAAAATTTTCCTAAGATAAAGGTTGTCTTAGCAGCAGTAACATAGGTTAAAATTTTTCTTTTTCGCCTTTTTAAAAATTTCCTAATGTTTGATAAGCGAACATCTCTACTGGATTGGAAGTGCTGAGTACTAAAGAGTAGACAGAGATGAGTGTTCAATCAGCTTGTTATCTTTAATCTCTGTGCAAAGAGTTGCATAGGCACCCAGATGGCAACTGCTGAGTGGCATGCAAATGATGGGGAAGTTCCATATTGTTGGGAAATAATGCTTCAAGACTTTATTCAATAGAAAATCCAACCAAATTCAAAGGCTGATGGTCTTATTTAAAGGGGATGGACAACTTAAGCTTGTCCCAAAGTAACGCCACGGTTGGACTTTAAAACTAAAACTAGAATACAGAAGAGTAAAAATATTAAAGCCTAAGAGATTGAAGAAGAATTCTTTCTAAGAACCTAATCACAATCTTTATTATGCATCAAAGTTATCGAATACATGAGAAGGCAAACTAAGTATTAAAAGTACCAAAAGGATACTAAAAAGAATTAACCCAGGATTACCCAAGATTAACCACTAATCCTACCACATAAATTCCATCCCTCCTAAAAAATGGTCCTTTAAGTTTTAAAAAGAAAATAAGAATAGGACGAGAAAGTGCTTGAATGAAAACATGCTTCAGTCAATGGTCTAGTTCCTCAAGCGACTTTCCTTCGTCTTAGCATGAGAATTTGTATCCTCATCTTCGCTTGGGGTTGTGTCAATCTCATTTTCTTGGTTTGGATGTTTTTTTTTCTTGAATTTTATTCACGTGATATTCTATTTGGCAAAGTAATTTTTCAAAGCACGTTTGAGGTCTTTCATCCCCACATTGATTTCCTCCCTTGAGATCCCAATCACGATCCAAAGCTTGATCTTATACTCGTAAGAAAAGTTTCTGGTTTTTGGGCGTTCTTCTATTGCTGTAATGCTCCATTCTTGGACAATTTTTGAAGCATCCTTGAAAGTTCCCCTCTTTTCTTGAAATAAAAGGTACACTAAAAAGTGTCCCTTTGGTAAATAAGTGTGGCCTGTTGGACAATGAGCATGACAATAAGCACAGCTCATGAAGCTCTCTCTAGCAGAGTTTGTGAAGTTATGTTCCTTAAAACTTTATGGACAAGTAGTTCCTGTTCTCCATCACTTTCAATAATTAATTAGTAGCGACTTGAATTGTGACCTCTTGAACGTGGGAAAGCAGCTCCTCCTCTAATACTTCTTGGATTGAGATTTTGTCTCAATATTCCTACATTATGGAAATTTGCTTCGAACACATGCTAATGAATTTGTTGGCTTTTTCCTTGCAGTGACTCAAATTTTGATAGTCTTTGTTAAGATGTTCAAGAAGTCTCGAGAAGAAAACGAAAGACAGGCTGATGCTGAAAAGAGAAAAATAGAGAAGGAAGCCATGAAAGAACGAAGTTCGGTTAAGGCAAAGTGAGACCATATTATGTTTTTAGTAGAAGGTAGTGCCAGACAAGCCTAATTGGTTAATTCGGTCGAATACCTGAAGAGGTGCGAATGTGAAAATCAGATCATAGACTTCCTTCACGGTAAGTTTCCGAATCTCTTAATAAAATGGCATAGTAGCATTCTCGACGGTATGCAAACTTAAAACTCCTCTGGTTTATGCTTATAACAGCTGAGCACAAGGCAATTTTGTTCCCAGGTTGGCTCTTCGCCCTCCTGCGCTGCCATTTCTTTCATCAATATTGTGCTTTGTAAATACGTAGCGAATACCGACTCATGGAGTGGTTGCCTTTTTGACAACGAGGTTAGAGCTCTGTTGATCTCAGCTTGACATTGTCATTATGGTAACAAAACTTCTCAGATAGCAACATATGGATATATATCAATTGTTGAAGATAGTTAAAATAGGGCTATGACCTTTGTATAGGTAGATATCATTGCTATATTTTGGTAGTTTTCTTGACTCATGGTGGCTTTTGCTGCACATTTATTGTAAAGAAAATGTTACAATTTCTAGTTAAAATGGTGTTTCATTAGTTCATGTGGAAAAAGTCCTCAAGTTTAATGCTCTCTTCCCCACTCGCTCGTCCTATCATTAAACGACACGACACCGTATTGATCCTTCATAATTCTTAGGTCAAAAACTACTTTGCTGTTTGCATTTGACTTGAGATTCGATAAACTATTTTGGTAGTTTTTTTTTGGAAATTTCGTTGTTTTCTTTTCAATTATGAAGAGTAGTTCACTGTTTCCATTTCAGTTTTCAAGTAGGCCCTTCGACTGGTTTGAGTAAACATGTTTTGATCACTTTTTCTTCTTTTTTATGAAATTAAAATGCTCAAACTCGTTAATTTGGATTTTTAACAAGTAATGGGTGAAAGTTTTCTTTATTGCTCTCTTAAAAGGTGGGATTATGGAGATTTTAATCTTCCATTTCAAAGGATAAATGGGTCATATGCAAATAATATCTATCTACTAATGTTGTACAAATTCAAAAGAATCGGACATGTAAATTACTGTTGTATCGTTCATCAGTACATGTAAGATACTACATTGTTAGTGATCAAAGCAGCATTTAATCATTGTTCATATTGTTCGACAGTATTTACGTAAAATATTTACTGTTATATATATACTTACATAGATAATATCTACTGACGGTTGTTTACTTGAAGGTTTATTTGCGTGTGTTACATTAAGGTTTTTTTTTTTTTTTTTTTTTTTTTTTTTTTTTTTTTTTTTTTTTTTT